GAGAAGAGGCTTGATATTGTTTAATAAAGACTAAGTCTTTTGTGAACGGCGCAGAAATATACGCAGAAATAGATACGGGCAGTCGTTTCCTCTCAAACCTGCTTAAAAAAATCATAACGTTTTTGGTTAGAGAGCTGCGATGGACTTTCACGCATTATATTTAGCAGAACTGAAGGTAAATATTTGCCGCAGGACAAAGGCCAAGTGAAAGAAATCCCTGTAAGTACTCTGAAAACGAAAATAATGTCATGAATAACTACTTTCACTTTCGATATAATCAGGAGATGTCATGTGAACGGAGTTCTGGGAGACATTTGAATACGTTAGGGAGAATTGACCGCAAGAAAGGCTTTTCAAATGTAAAAAGAGGTGTGCATACAATTTTACTGAAAGGAAGAGACAGTCAAACAGGAATCCCACATAGGCTCCCACATTTGATTTTCAGCGTACCATGCATGTAGGTTCGTAGTTTATAATTATTGTAGAACTCAACTTACACCAAATCGTGAGGGGTTTGCAAGGGCTTATAAAGGTGCGGACGACCGGGAGAGAGATTGCATGTTTTGATCCGGTTTAGCTTAAAAAGCTGCATTAAAAGTCTTAATGAGATTTTAAGAACAGTATTAAAAACCTACAAACTCTTTATTGCTTACCCTAAGAGAGGGCAAACAACTTGCACTTAAAATAACAACCGTTATTCGAAATGCCATAAATGCCTATATCATAAATCTACAACTTCTATTTTATCCCTAAGAGAAGGCAAAATCTTGCACTTAAAAAAAACAATTGTTATTAAATGTCATAAATGCCTATATCAAATCTTCCATTTCTATTATATCCCTAAGAGAAGACAAAAAACTTTCACTTAAAAAAACAAATTTTATTAAATGTCATGAATGCCTTTAGCAAATCTGCAACTTCCATAACATTTATGCTTAACAGTGATACGAGATAGGCGTTCTTATAACTGTTATAAATGGCTAAAAGTATAAACATTAAAGTACAAAAGCAGTGCTATGGTAGAAAAATATAGTTTCAAGTAAAATCGATTGTCCACCCGACCGGGCCTTTGTCTGGCTCTTTGAGACCGGTGACCGATCAAATCACAGTCACCGATCACTTTTTTTATTGACTAGTACTTTAAATATAGATACACCTCCATGCTAAACTGAATGATTCACGTAACATCCTGGAATTTGTTAACTGGAAAATTTGGTATCCCTGGCAACTGCTACTTGCTACACGCCCAGAAATTTAAATCAGTTACTTTAGGAGGATAACGTTGTAGATGTATTAAGATCTCAGTCTCCTTTACACCGTAAACCTTCAGGTTCCACTAATATCCACTTACAAATTCTCCAGACTGATCTCCATACATTTCCTTAAAAAATTAGGTGAGTTGAGAGCTGAGGATAATTTATTTGATAAAAGATCAAAGAATTTTCCATTAGGGTTATTTCTTTAAATTCTCCTAAAACTTTTCAAACGATTCAAGTACTGATAGTTTTAGGAGAAAATTGATTTTGGTCACTCTTGTGACTCAAAGGGTTAACCATTCATTATTTTAGAACTTTAAGCAGTTGCAAAATAGTTGACGCCCTTGAGAAAATTATACTCTTGAATCATGCGACACCTGACAACAAAATTTTGGGTCTGATACGGGTGTAGTGTCTTGAGCGTGTTCATAGCTAGCTGTTTCAAGGATTACTGTTAAGCTCTACACTGCAAATCCAAAAAATCTGTTTCAGCTCTAAAAATGGGACCGTTTCTGTTAGTAAAATACAGTTCTATTTTTTGTTCCTATTTATATTCACAACTAAGAGACAGGAATGGGTGTGCAGCTCGAACTGTGGAGCCTGAGTGCCGTCCAAATAACATAAAAGCTCAACATCACAGCTAAAGAATGTTATACAGATATTCGTAAATAAAGTCACTCAGGCTAAACCATTCCAGTGCGCCGCCTGATACGAAAACCCAAAAACCCAATGGGAAAAAATTGGGAACGTCTTCCCCAACCGATGGGGTCGCATAACCTCTGGGGGTTAAAGGTAAAAAATCAATCGGTAGATGAATACATTGCAACTGTCAAAACCTTATATACCTAACAAAAATAGAGTCAATTAACGCCACAGCGGCTCACGTGCGTTCGTACCGATAGGAAACTATTTACATTCTCTATCACTGCCACTACGTTTAGCTCCGCCGAATGTAAATACATAATTTGACTCCTTTACTCAGGGCCAATACAGTCCAATTACCTGGGCTGATTTTGGACCCCGCGGGCTGAAATGAGTCTCAGTATGGACTGGAATAGGCTTTTGAAGGGGCTGCTTTGGCTTAAGTTGTGCCCAGATGGCTCCAGAAATCAGACTGTGACCTGCAGCGCTGAATTGGCACTTTAATTTGGGGGCTGAAAACTTAGAGATCTTTTTAATGTCCAAAAATTGCTAGGTTCTACACAAAGATAATAGTAGCAGAAGTAGCTGAAAGGAAATCCACATATGAAATATGTTAACGTTTGGCAAATTCGGTTAAAATTTACGCAAAGGGCTAATCAATCAAAGCGGGTGGCACCCAGTGCCTTACTGGGAGTCTCAATTTGAGATATGGTTATATAGTAAGATTAGTAAGTAAAAAGTAAGATGCATTGTCCAAATGCATCTAAGGTTTCAAATATGTAATGTTGATCTGTCAGATTTGCTTTCTACGCAATCCTACCAGGCTAGATGAAATTTATAATGCGAGCTACATCGTATCTTCTATATAGGTGCAAGACGTGCCGACGAACTCTCCCATTACTCACGGCACCCTATCACTCTTGCCTAAAGATTGTTTTTCTACTGCGGCTTGCCACAAATTGGTAAATGCCATTAGGACCTTGTCCATATCAACTGATCCTCTCCTTTACACTTTTCCATTTCTCACATAATAGCTTCCTGGTCCCCAGGATGCCAAAAGTCATACCACCGGAACCATAATGATACAGGCACCTCTTTTATGCAGACTCTTGTATGTGTCCCCTTTTGGTACCTTTTGGTGATGACACTTCTGTTTTTCTCATTTGTATTGATATGGCGTCAATGGTACTTGGGATTCATGAATGGATAAGCAGTTAGGTCGGTTAGCGAAACCAGTACGGGTAACGAGGTTCGAAAGACAGCTCCAGGTCCTCAATTAATAGCTCATGACTCGTTCCTCGATGCAGGGCAACTAATGTTCGGACCGTCTTCCGCGTCTTGTTTGGCTGTTGAAGCAGTGCAAAAAAAAAAAATGAAGGAAAACCGTCAAATAAGAAACAAACAAAAACCAAATCATAAACCATACAGTTAAACAAGGGAATGGCGTTGATAAAGAAATACAACTTGTTATATGACTAAAAAGAATTACAGAGTGCGATCGACCAATCACAATCCCCGTACCCGCATCACGGGTTTTCCCCGGCAAGTTAGTAATGTCATTTGCCCCTGCAAAATCTACGGGGATGCCAAAAACTTGTCCCAAGATATTTTCATCGATCAATCAATAACATTTGACCCCTCTCACTATGAAGGTCGATTTCCACTGTCGCGTAATTTTTACGTGCGTACGCACGTAAATTTTGCGCACGTAAATGAAATAGAGGCAAAAAATGGAAGGTTGCACGTGGACGTAAAAGGTTGAACCTCTCTCAACTTTTTCGTTAACGCGCGACATTTATACATTTCCTCTTTTCCTCGGGCTTTACGCGCGTAAAATGTACGTGAGTACGCACGAAACAATTACTCGACAGTGGCAATCCACGTCTACGTCGAGCGCAATTGAATATGTGTACATGTATTACCTCTGATTAATTCTCTCAAGGCACTGACGACATCTTTTCGTTGTATCTTTTCCAGCGCTTGCATAAACCTCTCGACTGTGAGGTCTGGATTAACTTGGACAAGGTATTTCATTAAAGCTCTGGTTGGACTTGGGTTCCCTTTTGGTTTTAGACTGTCACATTCTTCTTTAGAGACACCAAGCTCACGGGCAAAATGTAACCAGTTTTTCTTTCCTGGTGTTTCTTCACCGGCCAGCAAGATTGCTACTTTTTCTAAACAATCTATATTTTCAAGCAGAGTTGCAATTGTGTCGCTATCTGCAAAATGGGAAAGTTATACACATCAATCAATCAATCAATTGATCAATTAAAGTATCCTTTAGAGAATTATACACGGTTGCAAGTTTTACTGAAATAAATTTTTCGTATATCCCTAGATCATCTTCAGTTTTGGAGGGCAGTTATAATGTTAGCTGCCTTAGATAAATGATGGGCAACAAGAATATTTTCCTTCACAAAATCTTTAAACGGGTGTACTTGATTATCTGCTGGGAACCCCTGGAACTATGCACTATACAGTATTGATTGTTCACCGTGGTACGGCTGCGAACAGGCTAAATAGGTTGACATCTCAAAAGGCCTGTTCCCAGCGAAGCAGGATTACGATAGCTGATAAACAAAAAAAAATTAAGGAACACAGGAACTAATTATAATCAGGAAGAGCAAAGCAAAGTCACGACAGCAATTACCATTGTAAGTTGATCTGGGTTCCAAAATCAAGCAAATTTATGCTTGTGGAATCCGGAAAACTAGGAATTCAGTTCTGGGAATCCGAAATCTCCTTAACGATTTGATTCCAGGATCTAAGTTCCATTGACAAGGAATCCGGCATCCAGAGCTTGGAATCCGGAATCCACAACAGCGTGGAATCGTCCAGAATTCAAGACTGTCTTGGATTACCGAAAACTCTCTAATGGTCAGAATTCGTTTTCACGCAGCACACAAGAAAATACCCTCATGTAAATCGGCAGTAATTGTTTTTTGTTACGTCACATACAAAAAAGCTATAATTTTGAGGTTAGCAAGGTTACGTTTGTACACGTATATACCGTATTTATTCGATTAACTGCCCTCGGCGCTTATTAAGTTTTCACCATTTTCAGTAAGTGTAGTATGTTCATTTTGCAACAAAACAATAAATGGTAATAACAAAACGCTAAGATGTAACAAAGCAAAGTTTCTGTAAAATACTCTTAAGACAGGAGCCGATCGGCTCCTGTCTTAAGAAAACTCCGTCTTCGGGGAAGTCCGTTATTTGAGTTTGAGTGGGAGGGGGAGGGGGGGGTAGGGTGGGGCTGGGCGCTTATTCGAGGCTGGGCGCTTATTGACTTTTTCTGCCTTTGGGATGGGCGCTTATTCGAGGTGGGCGCTAATTCGAAGCTGGCCGTTAATTCGAATAAATACGGTAAACTGATGGCAAGAAAGTTAATAAGAATTCAGTATAACCTAGTTAATAAATCATAACTTTTCACTCTAGTACAACCGGATACCTTGGAGATACTTATGAAGCACATTGCAAACGTCTTCTCTCTGCATTCCTTTCAAGACATTTCGCATCTTCTTTACTGTCAGTCTGGGGTTTTTCTTTTCAAGGATCTCAAGGACTGTGTTCACACAGCTGGTGGGAGTGGCGATTTGCTGCAGTGTTTCATCTGGAATATTGATGTTTCGCCCTAAATCTTTCCAGTTGTTGTGGTGGTCCAAATCTAGACAAATGTTCTCAAAAATGATTGGATACTGACTACGGAGTTCTTGTAATGATGCAGAGCCTGTTAAAGTAAGATATTCCCAGATCATTTGACAAAAAAAGGTTGCCTGATATTTCGACACCTTTGAAATCTTTATGTTACTGAGTTAAGCGAATGAAATGACCAGCCGTAAAGTATAAAAAAAGTAGTAATGGGTCACTTCAGCAAACATTGGTCGTGAACTCTAATTGGTTGCAAACACGGCTAGATGCATGCGATGTAATCAGTTCGTTTGAGGCACGTGAATAAAGTAAAATCTTAATTATTATGGTCAGTCTCAATTGTAGGTCGACGAACGTGTGAACGCTTGGAACCTTGACGATTAACATTAAAAGACTTAAATTGTCAGGAGTCAAAGTGAACTCAGTAGTTTTCCAAGCCAACGAGACCTGTGTAACCAAAACATGTACATAAGCTAACTGCAATTCACAACAGAACTTACCAGGATGACAATCTTCCATCTTCTTCACAAGATCGTTTCTGGAGATGGCTCTGAGTCCATCAATAAGATCTTGGACTGAGAAATGAGTATCTTCCGCGCTCTGTTTAATCTCCAGCATATGTTTTGTTGGACTGTTTTCGCGACTGTACTGGCATTTCATCTTAACCTTTTCCGGTACGTTGAATTCCGCAGCGAGATGCTGGGAACCAGGATTGGATTGATCCAATCTGAGAGCGAGCATATCCATCATGTAAACATTTGCTACAATTGTTTCACTCACAAGAGAACCTGTAAGATATTTTGTGATGTGGTTTGATTAGCCTGCGTAGCTTGCTTATTCGCTTGTATTAGGTTACACCGCCCAGGAAAATGAAAAGACAAACTTAATATCAGGGGTTTTCAAGAGTGCTTTTAACAGCTGTATGATCACAGGCGTTGACGGATGAAACAAAACAGAAATCATGTCCAGGGAGTGCAGAAATCCTTGAACATCTTGTTTCTTCCCATAATGCGAATACCTAAAATAATGTTCATCTGATGATAAGAAAATTTCATATTACCTTCCTGAATTTGTTGAGCATCGAAGTTGGTGTCATCATTAGTTGTTTCTACGCTTTCACTTGAAACAGTTTCTGTAACAAATAAATATTTAGGTAATTAATACTGAATACCGTAGGTTCAATCTTGGATCGTAATCGGCGGTTGGGAAACAAGTGTGCTTAGGCTGTATGATCACAGCAGTTGACTGAAGAAACAAAACAAAACGTCATGTCCAGGGAGTGCATAATGCCTTGAACATTTTGTTTTTGTTAAAATGTGTTCTCATAGTGGAAATCCTTAAATTAATGTTCATATAATTACAAGCCGAAACTTTCATTTTACCTTCGTGAAGTTTTTGATCGTCGAAGTTGGCGTCATCATTAGTTGTCTCTACGCTTTCACTTGAAATAATTTCTGTAAGAAATAAATATTTAGGCTAATTCATAAACACCGTAGGGTTACCAACTGGTATAATCTGGGATCGTGTTCAGCGGTTGGGAAACAAGTGTGCTTAAGCTGTATGATCACAGGAGTTGACGGAAGAAAAAAGTCATGTTAAAGAAGTCATGTGCAGGTAGTGCACAATCTCTTAAGAGCCATTATCTGAGAAAATCGAGAATCGCACGACACTCGTCAAAAAATCGAATTTTTTTTTATTTTGCCAAAACATCCCTTTTAGTGACCTTATTTAAGGAAAAATAGTTTTGGGTTCAAACGATTCATTTTAAAGGAGAAATTAGGAAAAGTTTGAAAAATCGATTTTATGCTCGTTTTTCGCACAAAACACGGCAGGATGCAATGGCAACTTCGAGAGAAGGGTGAACGCGTAAGAAACATTCCTTGACATTGAAACTTCACCGAATTATTATTTTGTTCTTACTCTTGAAAACCTTAAAAGAAAATTTGATAAACAATGCTTTACATTTTTATAATCGACAAGTGTAAAGAGGTCATATTTGTGACGTTTGACTATTAAAAAAGGCCTCTGGTATATGCCGCTTGATCATAAAATCAATATAAAATGGAACCTTGGCTTTTGTACTAACTTACTGGAAAGTTTTAGCTCTGGAAATCAAATATCATCCTGACACCAAAGCAAGCGGTGAGAGCAATTGAATTGGGAAATTTATGCAAATTAGACGGCTTGCGGACGGTTGTCAAACTAAAAAGAAAGGTTTTACATGAAGGGATTACTCACCATTGCTTGTAACACGTTTTTACGGCAAGGAAAGTTATTTCCAACTTCTTTTGCGTCGTTTTGAGTCACAAAATAAATAATTTTTAGCCAAAAGACAAACGTACGTTTGCTCAGCAACTGCGTCCGAATCCGGCCGTGAATCGAAAGTCCCAACACGTCGAAGCAAGAGTTACAAGAGTTTTTACTTCAGTCAGGAAGCAAAAGGAATAAAAATTCATCGCAAACTAATGACTTCCATTTTGAAAACCTTTCATCACTTCAATCGTTCGTCGGCTGATAATAATCATCGCACAAGATCGTATGACCTTTGGCGTGTGACCGGAAATTGGTCACACGCTTTAGTCACGTCAGCATGCTGTCACGAAATTTTCGTAGTTGTTGTCAGCAATTTTAATACAGTTTTCACATTTTTTGACAAGAACTCCCCTCATCGCAGTAGAAACAGCCATGCATATTTATTTTTCTTTCATTTACCTACTAGGCTTTGAAACAGCTTTTTTTGCCTTCGAAGTACCAAACAGGAGGGGTACCTCGGATTCCAAGTGTCGTGAGTGACCCGTGGAAGCGAAAATCAAGACCAAAAAAGAACGAATATTTTGAATACTTAAGTAAAGCCACAGCTAAAAAAAAAAATTTGTTCAAAATATTTTTAAAACAAGAAAAAAACATACTTCGATCATCCCCGTGACTTGGAATCTGGCCAGGGTACCTCCTCCCCCTCCCCTCCTCCCCTATGCCGGGTCAAAATACTAAGTTCCCCCGGCCCAATGTCCCATAGTCAAGGGAGTATACTCTCTTGCTGTAGTAAAGAACTTGCAGAATAATACCAATTCTCCGTGGCCAACGGATTCAACGCTATAGTTTACTTTGGTTTTCGCTATTTGCTCACGATCAGGAGCCTATAACCCCAACCGCGGCCAAATTATGAAACCTGTTATTACCAGAAAAAAAAAAAACACAAAGAAACAGTCAGTCAGATAGACAGTACATAATAAAAAAGACCTCGATTAAGATTAAAAAAAAAATCAAGACATGACACTGTCGAATACGAAAACCCAGAAACCATTTTGTGGAAAAAAGGTTCGTATACAGCTATCAGCTGCTTTTGTCCACAACTCGCCGATAGAGGTGCGCGGAAACTAGTGATTGTGAAATGGCTTCAAACTATGATCCTATAATGTTGGAATATTACTTATCACAGAAAGCTACGTCTGATTTCTTCTAGCAGACACAATCCTCTTGGTTCGTGTGGACAAAGTAGCTCATCCCGGCTATTTGCACCATGCTACCATAGTCTCCCTAGATTCCCAAGCCTCGCACGCAGACTTTCCTGTCCCACGAACGTTGGGTAGGATTATAGGACGAGCCAAAAGAAAGTGAAGGTTATAGGCTCTCGCGATGATGCAAGGAAGGTCGAGTATTATATTCCCCTATCCAAGTCGCCCAGGGTAAGTCTTCGGAGGAGAGTGACTTAGGGGCAGTATGTTCGAAAAGTTGACTAACGCCCCCGGAACTAACGCTTTCCCCTGGATAAATCTATATCCAATAAGTAACGCAATTGCTTCATCTTATTCGCTTGATAGTGATTTCCAGTTGTTCAACGTTTGAACAACAGGGCCCTAAGTATTGTGTTTCGCCTTGCACTAAAAACCCATAAACCTTAAAAATTTCACTGGGACTTCAGCACCTCCCTTGAATGATCCATTTCGCTAAACGGGACCTCAAAACAACGATTCTGTGCATCCCAAGGGAGTGTATACTATACGTTCCTGGCTCTCGTCACTCACAGTGAGGTGATGGTGGCTCATACTCTAATAGACCTAACACAGTCGAACCTCCATGTGCGACCACCAATCCAAAAGACCAAATTTTCCCATTCAAAGCCTTATATTTGGATTAACCTCCAGTAAACGACCTTCTGTAAGTGACTGCGACCACTTTTTGGGTTAATTGTTTTCCATAAGCGACCAGTTGACGCATTCTCTGCTCTCTATTTTTGCTGTGTGCACTATGTTCCTTGGAAAAAATGAAGACCTTTAGTGACATCGTGGAACTACACATATCCTAACTTAGTGGATGTAGCCAACAAAGTGAAGATTCTGTTGTGATTCTAGACTATTCTATATCTCACTCACCTGAATCCCTCTTTAAATTGAGCATGATTTAAAAGCTGTATTTTTCAAAAGAGGTAAAAGATAATATTTTGCCAGGAATTTGTTACACCGCCATTTAATAGAATGTGCCCGGACCTCTTCTCGGAATAGACCCCATGTGGTCCGATTCTTCTAAACGGCCACCTCCCGTTAGAGACCATTAAGTCTTTGCATTTTTGGTGGTCGCTTACTGGAGGTACGACTGTATTACTTTGACCTACCAGAGGCTTACCGATAATAAAGGGGATCTGGAAGGGGGCATGGATGCGACAATCACATGCCAGGTCGCTTACTTAAAATAGTGGACATCTAACTGACAATCAAAGTTTGTTCTTATTATTGGGGTTATCTGGTGTTTACTCACCTCCCAAGCTACCCTGGGTGAGCCAACTTTTCCTCCATTTCCTTACAAAACTTGGTAAACCATTTACATGAGAAACAAAAGGTTGGTTCGGATAGACGCCTTACTACCAGTAGTGGGCGGGGTTGAGGGCTTCCGGAAGTCAGCCCTCCACTGAGCCGGTAGTGGTGGCCTCACCCTTCTAGCCCGGCTAATATTTCTTCACTTTGGTCAAGGCTAGACAAAGACAGCATGCGCAAGCACTGTTGACTCGGACAAAGTGGTCAGTTTTTTCCTCATACAAACGCTCACAAAAGTTGGCTCGGCTGGGAGGTTGACCTTCTCTCCGGCACGGCTTTTCTCCATCCATGGGTTCCAAACAGTCTTTTAGCAGTCACGTTTGAAATTTATAGGAAAATGATGTAGCACTTCAAAAAATAATAAAAAAAAATACTTTTTTCACAGCCTGTCAATGCCTAGAAGGTGTCTATAAAAGAAATCAACTGCAGAACAGGAGTCAATTTCAGTTTTTTGCGCTTTTCATGCTAGCACTGCGAAGCGGACTGGGGGTGCGAGACACGCGCGATGCATGGGGAACAAGTTCTGCGGGCTATAAAAGAAATTAAAAAACAAACAAACAAATAAAGCAGGCCTGATTTTATTTCGATGAGTCTATTTTTTGTCGAAAGCAAACGTGAAAAATCGTATTAAAATTTGTGACAGTATGCTAACGTGACTTAAGCGTGTGACCGATTTCCGGTCACACGCCAAAGGTCATACGATCTTGTGCGATGTTTATTATCAGCCGACGAACGATTGAAGTGATGAAAGGTTTTCAAAATCGAAGTCATTAGCTGTGGTCACACTACAGACTTTTTACCTAGGTAAACACGACTTGTTGACAGTTTACCTAGGGAAACTTGATTTTTTAAGTGTGACCGATTTTTCCCCAGATAACTTACCTCGGGCAAATTTTATCGTCTGGGTCTTGGATATGTCTCGAAAACAATAGAGTTTCCCTTGACAGCTACCCCAAAGCAATAGCTAGGGAAAAATGAAATACCGAGGTTGCTAGCCAATAGAAGCTCATCGGCGAAGGTCTTGATGACAGAACTGGACATAGATCACGCTGTGAAAGAAATTTTGGGAGCACGAGTCGTCTACGTCTTCGCCTTTCTTCACCTTGCACGTTGAATTAGCGTAAGAAATAACAGCGAGATAAAAGAAAAAAACGTCTCTTTGATCAGCTAGATCCCTACGCATTTTGCCTTGTTGAATTTACGTTCCAAAAAATTCAACTGACGTGACAATTTTGGGAGCCGATATCAGTAGTGTGACCTTCCCAGAATTTTTACCTAGGTAAAACAAAACCCGAGATGAATTTACCTAGGCAGATTTTTGATGAATTTGCCCTAGGTAAATCGTTTTTACCTAGGTAAAAGTCTGTAGTGTGACCACAGCTATTAGTTTGCGATGAATTTTCAATCTTTTGGCCTCCTGACTGAAGTAAAAACTCTTGCAACTCTTGCTTCCAAAGGACCGCAGTGACGTGTTGTGACTTTATTTCGATTCACGGCCGGATTCTGGCGCAGTCGCTGAGCAAACGTACGTTTGTCTTTTGGACCTTTTGGCTTAAAATTATGGATTTTGTGACTCAAACCGACGCAAAAGAAGTTGGAAATAACTTTCCTTGCCGTGAAAACGTGTTACAAGCAATGGTGAGTAATCCTTTCATGTAAAACCTTTCTTTTTAGTTTGACAACCGTCCGCAAGCCGTCTAATTTGCATAAATTTCCCAATTCAGTTGCTCTCACCGCTTGCTTTGGTGTCAGGATGATATTTGATTTCCAGAGCTAAAACTTTCCAGTAAGTTAGTACAAAAGCCAAGGTTCCATTTTATATTGATTTTATGATCAAGCGGCATATACCAGAGGCCTTTTTTAATAGTCAAAGTTGGCCTTCGTTTTCTAGGATGTCTAACGTCACAAATATGACCTCTTTAGACTTGTCGATTATAAAAATATAAGACATTGTTTTTCAAATTTTCTTGTAAGGTTTTCAAGAGTAAGAACAAAATAATCATTCGGTGAAGTTTCAGTGTCAGGGAATGTTTCTTACGCGTTCACCCTTCTCTCGAAGTTGCCATTGCATCCTGCCGTGTTTTGTTCGAAAAACAGGAATAAAATCGATTTTTCAAACTTTTTTTAATTTCTCCTTTAAAATGAATCGTTTGAACCCAAAACTATTTTTCCTTAAATTAGGTCACTAAAAGGGATGTTTTGGCAAAATAATAAAAAATTCGATTTTTTGACGAGTGTCTTGCGATTCTCGATTTTCTCAGAAAATGGCTCTTAAATATTTTTAAAATGTGTTCCCGTAATGCGAATACTTTTTCACTTGTTAATGTTGTGTTCCCGGTGTTAAGAGGCTGTCCGCGTAAGAACCGATAAGGCAAATTTTGGTCTATCACGGATTGCCCTGATTTTTTCAGTGGAAGATAACTATCCTATCCCACGAAGAAATATCACATTTATTTGGACCAACTCAATTTTTTCTCTGTTTTACAGAAAGATTTTCTAGGTCACCTAAACCTAGCCAGTTTGCCGTCGGAAGTGGTGCTATTTTAAGGAAACTTTAGGGCTCTTGCAAACCTACCTTACCAACCCGAATAAGCTGATTATTTTACACACAAATGTTTTAACACTGATTAATAGTTTCAAGGTTTAATGGTTGCATTCTGTGGAAAGTTGGCTGAGATATGATTTTTTTAAAATGACCTTTAATTTGCTTATCGGGAAAATTAATTTGCATAACTAGAGCTGAACGGTAATTTCGCAAAAGTGGCACCTGACCCAGACTCAAGTCTGTGATAAAACAGAAGTACTAAGACCAGTCTACTTCTTAATGCGATAAAATTTGTGGGCACTCCTCTTTGCGTGCTGTACAAAGTTCCGTTAATGTTCCAAAATTCGCCATTTTGACAGCAAAGCTGGAATTGTAACGGTCTGCATCTGGTCGACTAATTTCCACAGCTTTAACGTTTCTAGTTATCACTAACTGTCATTAGACCCTTTAGATGTTGGACTTTCGAAGACATGTGGAGAAAACTTAGTAATCGCTTTTTCTTGGTTTTTTTCTTGTCGACAATGAACGTGCGCCAATGTTGAGGAGACAGGAACGTCACGACGAAGGAACTCTAACAGCTTTAATGTCAACGGAATCGTTCGTACAACAAGATGGATGCGATAATCACACACACGAGGGAAAACCGGCGCGCGCATATAATATAACACAATGCCGCAGGCACTGCCTGTTGGCGCAACCTCTTCTTCCGCGTAAATGAATGCAAACTACCTAAAAGGTTAGAACCGAGACGAAAGATATAGTGGCATAATGGCAAACGAAACCTGATAACAAACAGACTAAGGCCTAACAGTCACTGCAAGTTAAAACTTATCGTTGCAGGATAAAGCGTAACGACGCAAAGGCTAAAATCTAACATAGTCATTTAAGTACGAAGGTGGTTTGCGCTGTCTCTGAGGTCTTGGACCAGGAGTCTCAGGAGAAGAACTGGGACAGGACGGCAGGGCCTGATCTGGGGCTGTCGCACTAGTGCTGGGCTCCCCCTGTAGAACAGGTATTGAGGGAACGCCAATAGGGGCTTCAACGGTAGTGTCATCACACGTGGACGAAGGGAATTGCTCCTCGTCAGACGGTACCGAGGTAAGCTCAGGCGGCGCGGGAGGAGGTGACTCTGGTAATACTGAGGCAGCAGGCACAGCGGGGGTTACCGGAGAAGGCTCATCATCCTGGTCTTGAGAAGCCGGAGGACCAGAATGATCGGCCACTATAACGGAGGGAGAAGTAGCGTAACACTCGGACAGCTTGACTTTGTAGGAGGTGGCCCTCAGTTGTGAACCACTGAACTTCTTAACGAAGCACCAAGGGAAGTCGATGGAAACCACAATATAGCGATCACGCGCGCGAGACTTGCCCTTATCGGAAATGAGGTATACAATGTCGCCAACCTGTAGTGAAGGCGTGTGTGGAACAAGACCGCGGGGGTTCTTAGACTTCTCACTGGAGGCATGGTTAGTGGAACGTTGCTCGTGTTTACCAAGTATGAGGTCGTAATCAGACAACGGCAACTGTTCGTGGGTGAACTGATTGCGTTGAGTCCACAACTCGCGAGATGATAGGCCAGGAAGGCGAAGACGGGAGTTAAGACGGGCAGTGGCGAGAGCAAGACCAACTGCACTTACTGGTCTGCCACCGGGCTCTTGTCTGATGAGCTCTTCCTCAAGTTCACGGACAGCCTTCTCAGCGACTGGGTTCTTGTTTTTGTTCTTAACGCGACCGACATCGATTGTTACGTTCAGGTGGTTGAGAGAGTCATTGTTGGCCATGGACTGAAAGCCAGGGGAGGGATCTACACGTATAATTGCTCTTGGGCCGTCAAGTGGTTGAGACCGACAATTAGCTGTGTGAGGGCGTTACGGAGGGTATCGTGTTTCTCGTCATGTACTAAGCAGGAAGCAGTGAAGGACGTGGTGCATTCTCGCAGTACTAGGATCAGCTGACGGTAGCGTTTGATTACATCGACAGCGAAGGAGACGCCTACGACCTCTGGGGGGTCGTTAGACGACTGCTTGACCAAGGAGCTTGGAAACGACTTCAGGGAGGCGCAAGTGTGGCAGGCAGATGTTACGCGAGAGATGGC